CAAAAGGAAATAGAATGTTCACCTGGAAATAATTTAACAAGTCTTGGAAATACCAAGCATTACTATTATTTTTTAAATAAAAATTGATGGTTACACTGCAGGTCATCTGTGTTAGGACTACAATAAAGCAAGGCAATGGAAATATGTAGAGAAAGCATAAGAATCATGGAGTCTCCTATTTGCATGCTTTAAATTAGCTGTTAAGGGTATAGAACATCTCTTTAATGTATTCACAGGTACCTTATTATTAACGTGTCAGATCTCTTTGAAGATTCTTCAGTAATTTGCTATTCCATTTCTGTTTCATTCATTAGTTTCTAAAGCATCCCCAAGATCTTTCCATTAGTAAAGTTCTCAATGAATCAAGCTGGGAGCAACTCAAACTATTTTGATTCACTTAAGAACACATAAGTTATCTTTAGAAACAAACCGTAAATGAGAAATGCAGTGTTGTGGACCCTTCACAGTGTGAACAGGGTGAAATAATTCCATAGTTCAAGAGACTATGATCTAAATAAGTGAAACACACAACTACCATAGTCTAGATTTATATTCCCCCTTCGATTTATTGATTTTTGAAAATAGGTAAAAATAATTTATCTTTTTTACTTGCTAAGAGACAAAGAGAGTATACTTATGTAAATAGATTAAAAAGCACTCTACTCTTGAAGGTATTAATATAATGCTTTTATATCTTTACTAAAAATAAATTATAAGATAATTTTTAATCTAGCCTTTTCTTTTACCAATAAAGATATTTAAAACAATGTTAATTGTATACATGAGTTTAGTATAAGTGGTTTAATTTCTTGACATAATTAACAAGGCAACTGCAACTGATTCTTATTAAAATGAACAATTAGTTGGCAAATTATTGCATTTCTACTATAAAAGACATTCTATAGATATCGTGGAAATATAGAAAAAAGACATTAACATCTTTGCTTTGGCAGACTGTGATTTCATATTACAAAACGTCTTTAAGATAAAAAATTTCCTTAATATATTTTTCATGTATTGGAGGGATGGGTTAGGTAACTTATATGGACCCTACCCAACTCAAATATTCTATTCGTTATGTGAATTAACAACTGGGGTAGTAAAAATATAAATCATTCATTAATTTATTTCTGTCCCATTTGATACTTTAGGATAATTAATATGTTCACATCCGCCTGTAGAACTGAGATGGACATTATTAATTTCAACCTTAGATTAATTGAATGTGATCCCTTCTATAAAAATAGTCTTCCTATATTCCTAAATAATCACTAATTTTAGGAGCATAGAAATCACTCAATACATAGAAAAAGACCTTTAGAATAACATGAAAATATCAATTAGGAAACTACATGTTTGATATTAATGCTAAGCTGTTATTCTGTTAAACTCCCCAGGGTGCTCCTCCACAATGTTTACAATCATAACCTATATGTAACCCAAATAGAGAACCTAAAACTTGGCCAAGAGGGCAAGATCATGTTAGCCTATTGCATGTGATTGACATGTCATAGGAATGTGATTCACAGTGTAGCCAATCAAAGTAGGACACTTAGCAACTACAAGTTTACGTTTTCTCTGTAGAGGCTACCTGGTGTTCAGAATATCCTGGAGTGGAATAACAATACCAGGTAACATCTAAATAACGCAAGAATATTTGTTAGGAACAGAATCTATCCAAGACAGAGTTCATCCCAATTCAGTAAAGGTTTACCAAGAGAAGAGGGGTTAAATTACATTGTTAATTGGTGAAGTGTTTTGAGAAATTCACTCAAAGTTTTTGAGAAATTCACTTAAGGTTTTGAGAAACCTTGCTTCTTCAGTTTCAACAATTTACAAGACCAGTTACCTAATCTTTACAATAAGAGTCTCCAACTGGGCTTTCCTCTGGCCTTGCCTCCCAAACATCAACCCCCTCTTTTAATGCCTGTTTCTCAGAAAAGAATCCCTAGCATTTTCCCAAAGGCGATATTTATGGTGTTTGTGGATATCATGCTGAGTGCCTAGAGTATATTTTTGGAGAAGAAACAGGAGGGGCCAGATTATCTTTGAAACCCTATATCGTTATTGTGTTGATACTGGGGGAATTTTTAAGGAAGAAAGGCAGAAATAAGGGAGAAATTGAGAAAGCAAAAGAGAGAAAAGAAGGAGAAAAAAATAAGAAAGAAGGTAGGAAGGTCAATTAGGCAGGTCATATTGCCTGCTTTGTAGTCCTTTGTCAAGCAAGATGAGGGAAGAAACTGCGCAAGAAGAAAATGAAAGATCTGCCTAAAGAAAAGCGGTGCAAGTGTTTTAAAAGCTCTGAAGACTCTAAAAGCTGCATAACTCTCCTCTCTAGTGCCACTTCAGATTAAACCAGTCAAGCCTTCTTCCCTTGGTCTTTCTGTCTCTTCCCTTCCCCTTCTCTGCAGGTGGCTTCATCTGGAGGATTTCCAGGAAGGTTGGAACAGGCATCTCAGATTTGGGTTCTGCCTCCTAGGAGCTGGGGAGAGCTGGCAGAGCCTACTGTGGATTTACACTGCAGCTTCCTCACTTCACTAGGTCCTAATCCCTACTGCTGCAGCAATTTGGAGAAGGCTAGATAGGGAGAAAAGTGAGGATGGTTCCTGCAGTATCTCTGAAGTCTGAATTCCCTGATGGATTTTGGAGAATAGAGCAGGGAAGGGATGGAGATGGGCCCTGGGCAGCTCTCAAACAGGAGCTGCAGATTCTGACTGACTTGGTAATGCTTCCCCCAAACTCCAAGGATTCCAAAGAAACTGACTTGAGAAGCAGAGGAGGTCAGACAAAACATTAAGTGAGGTGGGTGCATTAGAGATGAGGGGCAATAGAAATTAGAAAGAGACCTTACAAGAAAAAAAGAGGCAAAGAAGAGAAATGCGATGCTGTAAGAAGGAACCTTAGAGATGAACCGAAAAGATGTGCTGGTGAGCAGACATTTATTTGAAGACTGCAGCAATGTTACTGAGGATGTTGAAAACTAAAGAGAGAAGAAAACATTCCCACTTGATGTTACTTTTTAATTGTTTATTCTACAGACTAGAAGTTAATTGACTTTTCTCTAGTTCCATGGTTCTAGGCCTCAGCTTTCTCATCTGTAAAAGAAGGGGTTTGGACTAAATGCCTTATAGCATCTCTGCCTTGAACCAATCATCTATGAGCTTAAATACTAGATTCCCCCCTTTTTTTTCCTCCACCATTCCTTTATCAGTGCAGTGCAACACCTGCACTATTAATGGAACTGATGACAACTCTCAGTGATGACAAGGAGTATGGCTCAATTGTGACAAATGATTAGTCCTTTTGCCCTGGAGTAAGGAAAGAAGGAACAGAGAAGGCAGCATGATTTATACTTTGGACTTCCAAGGTGAGGCTATTCTTGAATTTTCAATTTCAAATGTTATTCATTTAAATAAATTATAAATTCCTTTGAGGGGTTCCAAATAGTTGGACTGATAAAAGGGCCAAAAAGCCCTACAGTGATGCACCCTCCTCCCAGTTTGGGTGAAAATGTATTTATTTCATCCAAAAAATTTGAATTTTTTTTTACTGAAAATCTAGCACTACTGGCCATGCTCTTTTCTTTTCTGCCTGCCTCATACCATTCTGCCAACCTGCTTCAGTGCAGCATTTTCTGGGGTTATTAAACACTCAAGGCTTAATGAGAATACATTCAAAGGTGTTCATTGATGCAGGACCACCCCTACCACACACACAAATATGAGTGTAAAATGTGTCTTCACAAGAGTTTCATTTTGAATTTGTCTCAACCTGAAATTCCTTTAGAAATTAAAAAAATATTAATATGTAGAAATAAAATTTCTTAGCTTCTTTTACCTTCAAGTGAAAAGTGACACACAACTAGTGTGTATTTAGTGTTTCCTACACTCACCAACATTTCCATTATATTTTAGTCTCCAAAATATGGATAGGAGGGCAACTCTAGAAAAATGGATTCCCACTCTGGCATCTCATGGGGCACTGATCCGTGCAGTGCTGAGCACTCACCATTTCCTCGCATGCAGGAAGCATCACCACCTCCTCGCCTCCTCCCCACACACGTTCTCACACCCATGAGGGTATGCATGAATCTGATTTTCACCCGAGGTTTGACCTTGCAAAGATCCCCCTTCCAGTTTCTGGGCAAGGGACAACACATTTTAACTCAAAATATAGAACGACCTTTTCTCCTTTAGAGAAATACTACAAAATGTAACACATCTGGGATTACATTTCTCAGCCCTACATTCCAGAAAGTGAATACGGAATGCAAAAGCAGGTAACTAGTTTTGAGTCCGACAGCCCCCTATTCGGCGACTGAGTCTCAAGACTCAGTTCAAAATCGACAGCGAGGTAGAACATCTTTCCTTTTTCTCCCATTCACCATTGTGACGAAAAATCACAAACGAAAAAATTATCTACTCATTTCTAAACACTAAGAAATATGCTTATTTTGCTCCTGACTCTGTTGATTTTAAACAGTAACATCCCGCTTAGAAATCAACCCTAATTTCCATACCAATCTCATCCACTCAGTTTTACTTAGCAAACACCTTTGCTGCCCTTCCACGGTGAGAAAAATGGTGCACCAACCCCACGAATGACAGGTTGCTACTTGCCGGCACCCGCTCAATAGTTTTATCACCAACCGGAAAACTTCACAATCTGTCAATTAGCTACTTACATTTGTCTAAGGAAACCCGCCTATTTATAGATTTAAACCAAGAAAGCATCTCAGTTTCACCTATCTTAAATCTAGCCTAAGACAATCCCCCAGACGCACCGCAGATAAACACTCCCCCTTCCCCCATCCCCATTATTTCAAAAGATGCCCCATGGACTAACAACATTCAGATCGCCAGCATTAACCAAGGCAATTCTCACCATGCATTTAGACCATCTATGCAAAACAAAGTATGCGACAATAGCCAAAGCAGCTCCCTGACAATTGGTTGCGCTACACATGCAGGAATGCAACGAAGATTGTATTTTCCACTTACAGTTATAGCGCTGCGCACGGTCACTTAATGACAATGTAAAACTCAAGAGTTCTTTCTTTTGTAATGTGTATTTAATTCGAGTAAACGGTTAAGGCGTCTCTCTGTGTGATTCTCTCTCGCTCTTTTTCTCTGGAGCTCTGGGCTGCTTAAATCCCTCCTGGATCGCGCCTTGCAAGCCCAGTCCCCGCCGCAACACGCTCGGGTAAATCTCTGCTGCAGATTGGGAATCCCATAGAAAACCTAGGGTCCCTGGAGCGGGATGCGCAGGCGCGCGAGCCTCCGCCACTCCTCTCCTCCCTCCTCCCCTAGCTCTGCAGCCCCAGCTAAGGAGAGGCTCCGGAGCCTGTGACCAAAAGCTGCCTGGCAATGGCGCATGCTCAGTCGGAAGGGCTCGGAGTTTCCGCGGGTGGATTTTGCGTCTCCAGATTTTAGCAGAAACTCAAAAGGAAAGTATATTGGAAAAGCGAGCCGGGCTACCCGAGCTGCGGGCACCTGGACAGGCGCGAGGGCGGGCGAGTTGGGCTCGCCTCGCTCGGCGGTTACCGAGCCTGGTGGCCGAAAGCCGAGGAGGGACATTGTAGAGCTTGCCTTTCCCGCCTCTCTTCTGTCCTAGCCTGCCCCCGGCCCGCCCTTTGTCAGGCTGTCAGGTGAAGGAGAAAACCACAGAAATCTCCGAAGCCAGCCTCCCCCGCAAGCTGTGAGCACGTCTACCCGACTCACTGAAGGAACGGTTATGGTGGTGATAGGGGCCCTTTCGTCCGAGGGTCTTTTGCTGGGAGTACTGGGAGCTGAGTCCTCTAGCACTCAGTGCCCAGGACAGTGCCGGTTTAGAACCGCACTGGAAAAATGTGCATTGAAGGGAGGTGGATCTGAGGCTTCCTGCCTTATAGGCAGGCAATGCTGACCACCAACGGATGTTTAATAAGCGCCTTCTGTATGCACTTAAGGAATATATTTTAAAATATGCTTCGCATACGGACCGGGCTGTGGAGAGGAGGAGAACCATTTTGTGACTCCACGGTTGAGGGTTCTGCCAAGGCGATGTTATACAGCCCCTTTTGTGTCCTTGAACGACTAACAGGTTTGCCAGCCATCCCCTCCTTCGCTCTCCCGTTGACTTGCCAAAGCCTAGAAGACTTGGCAACCAATAGTGCCCAGTAAATAAATGCTTGGCCGGTCGCTCCCCTACCAGGAAAGAAAAGAGAATTCCCAGATGTCCCCAGCCTGATCAGTTTCCCCAAGTGTGTATGTCTGTACATTCATTCATTCAATAATTAATTAGTCACAGAACACTTACAGATATTAGGCAGTTATCTGCTATAGGGATAAATGCAGTGAACAATCCCCCCCCCCCCCCCCCCCGCCCCAGGATTTACATTCAGGTGGGAGTTTTATTTTCAAGGGCGGGAAGTTCTGGGCGCGCAACGAATATCGACGTTCTTCTTAAGCGGAGCGCTTTTGCAATTTGAACAGCGTCCTCATACACCTTACCAAGTTCAGGACAACTGAAGAGTTGACCTTTTGATGCTGGGGATGCCAAGAGCGTCTCCTGGGGCAAATGAGCTCTAAATGGGCACATCTCTGTTGTCAGGAGGCAGCTGTTCCTGACGCCAAATCCGAGAGTCTAGCTTCGAACGAACTTGAGGCTACTTAAGTGGGGACCGGGAGAAACCCTGCCCGACGAGTCTGCGGCAATCGAAGGTTCATGGTAAGCGAGGGCCTCAGACGGTGTCACCTAAGCTGCCTTCAATGCCAGCCCAGCCAGCCCAGAGCCCAGGAACGCGCTCTCCGGGCCGGACGGCTCGGGAAGGCTGCGCAGAGGGAGAGCGCGCTCTTTGGACTCCCGGGACACCGCCCGCGGCTGTCCCCTCCCGGCGACGCTCTTCCTCCCGGGGCCGGGGACCGTTCTGGTGACCGCGGAAACCCGGAGCGCGGAGCCGCGCGGACTCGAGCGCGCCGCCCCTGCGTGCTGCGGCAGCCGAGCACGGTAGGGTCTGGCGGGCGCCAGCGCCGCGCTCTCGGGCCGCAGTGCGCACTGCGCAGCGGGGCTCCGGGACTGGCTCCGCCGCTTCTGTATCCTGGGGTGAGCAGGGATGATCGTTCAGGATAAGTCACTTTTGTTGGCCAGAAAGACAGCCTTCTAGGCTTCCAAAAATCCCCTCTTTGGTGGATTTCCTCTGCTGAGGCATCTTACGCTGGGCTCTCAGGTTTCTCTTTGGAGAACAGCGTCCGCATTGCACTCCGCATCAGCCGAAGAGGTCATGATGCCTTTTCTCCGCTGCGAAGAGTTGTACTTATGTATATAACACCCTGGAGCTCTCCTTCGTGGCAAAGCTCGGTGTTGGATAACTTACTTTCAACTTGTGTTTAGGAAAAAAAATGTACACTGATACTTTAAACCGTGCTCTATTATAGGGTAGATTTGATATCGACGCGTGCGCTTTTGTAAAGCAGCGGTGTCTAAGCGGGCAGTCAGATTTTTAAAGTTCCTTTAGCACTGCCGCGCTGTTCGGTGTCCTCAATGCGGTATCTTAGTTTTTAATCTCTAGCCATTATGTAGCTTCTATATTTTTTCAACTTCTAATATTTCGGTGTTCTTTTAAAAAATTTTGACACGCCCTTTAGTCGAGTTTTTTTTTTTTATGCAGCATGAAGTCACAGCAAGGAAGCCAATTCTAATAGACTACGAAGAAATGCTATTGTATAAATTAAAGAAAGCAAATCTCCTCTTTAGGATGGTAGAATGAACTTTAAGAGAGGAGTGTGGTGGGAACATTAAAAAGTGAAGGCGCCTGCCGCTTCTTTCTTCCTCCAGGTAGTAGCCGATGTCACTGGTGATCACACTGGAGCAGAGATTGCGCTGCTGGGCGCTCCTCTGCGCCCAGAGCTAGAGGGACTGGAGCGCCGCGCTGTGCTGAGTGAAGAACGCCATCAGCGGTAGCAGTTGTCCCATTACCTAAAGCCACATCCCCATCACTACGGAATGCGTTGTCAGCTTATACACCCTGATTTTTTTTTGGGGGGGGGTGGTGGAGTAGCGAGGGCAAGTGAAGAGGAAGGAAGGTGCTACAGGTAGGGGTCCCACCCCCCCGCAAAGTCCTCAGTTAACCAGAAACAAACAGAAGAACCATTTTCATTTCCTGAGTTGCAAATTATATTATTTACAGAAGCTTCTAGCCTTACTTCCACCTCAGTTTTTCCCAGATTCACACAAATAAACCAAAATAAAGTCAACAACTGTTTAGCTATACAAAACTCCATTTAATATTCCCACCCACTTTGTGACTTGGAAAGTTGAAAATAGGATAATAGTAAAAGTGTAAAATGTCAATATTATAACAGGTCTGAACTTGTGGTCGTGTGAACTCATGGCAATATTATTTATTAGAAATATCTGTGTATAAAATACATGAACCAAGAAGGGTGGAACTTAAGTCATAAGAACAAATTGGAGGAAAAATTGTTTGAAAGTCATCATTAAGAAAAAAAAGACAACCAAGTGTCATATGTTCTCGCTCATAAACGGACCTTGCACAACTATGGTAATACTATATAAGAAAGGGATTGGCAGTAGTGGGAAACTGGGAGGTGGGGGGGTGTGTAGGTGGTGGTGGCAGGACACACCTCATCAACAAGGGTATCTGCATAATGAACATTTGTATACCTAACCCTAAATTGTACTCCATATATTTAAAATTTAAAAAAGAAAAAAGACAGGAAATTAAAAATGGATTTATACTCATTTAAATTCAAAAAGAGTAATGATAGTAATTTTCTTGTATGGCTAAAGTGACTTTATTCCAAAAGCTAAGGGTATGAATCCTTACAGAGGAGAAGTATTATGTAAGATAATTATGTTTATCTTATGTATTTTTAAAAGATACAGATAGACCAAAAAAATAACTGTCCTAAAGTCAAATACGGATTTAGCTCCTAGAATAAAACCCTATGACAGTTTTTATGACACAAAATGTTTCATTGTGTATGCCTGTACGCCTTCTACCTGTTTCTAAAATAAGTGGACAAATGCAAGACCATGAAGTAGTGATTTCCATGTAATTAGAGGGAGAGTTCCATGTCTCTCTCAGGAGAGAAAAAATTAAAAGTTCTAGTTTTAATGGATCTGGTTGATCATTTCTCCAAGTCCACCCCTCATTTAGGTCTGTAATCCATAACTGGATCTAAATTTAGTTTGAAAGACCACTCTCTAACTGCAGATGCCAGTTTCCCTTAATATTTTAACAATTCACAACAAAAGTTTCTTAAGGCTCTGCTGAATAAATCATTGTCAAAGCTTTTAGCTTCCTGGAAGTTTTTGGATCCTTAGTAAAGGTCCTAGCAAATGCAGTTGGTGTGTAGGCTCAAGAATAGAAGAAAATGCTTCATTCCATTCTCTTCTACAATTGGAGCTAGCCTATAAATTCCTAGCAGTACTTTTAAACTGGACGTTTTCTTTTTTTAATTTTATTTTAAGGATGTGGGTACAATTCAGGATTAGGTATACAAGTGGTCATGGTACAGGTATAAGCTGGAAATTTTCATCATGACTATCTAGTGACAATACCAAAATGATAACATAATTGGAATATATATGGCTCCTAATTTTTTCTTCAGTGTTTTATTATTTAGGTAGTCCATTCTGCCAGGCTATATTCTTTGTGTGAATATCTACTGTAAGCTATAGTATGCGTCTTTTTTTGGGGGGGGGGGGACAGGCCTTTATAGTTGAAGAACATTTGATCTGGAAGAGTCTTCAAAAACCCTTCTTGTCTAAAGCAGATCTTACAGAATCCTCAACCTCACCAGAGGATCTTAGCATAACTCTTAAGGGAAAATAAAAATATTGATTTCTACCCCCCTCAGAGATAACACAAACAAAGGCCATATTCTTTTACCAAAAGATTTTCACAATTGAGTTTATATTTTTGCCTACTACCCTAAAGGAGAAAAGAAACAGTGGGCTTCCTTATTTTGGGGGGAGTGTTCTTATCATATGTATCCTTTAAAGTTCATTTTATCATTCTTGAGGAGATGTTCAAAAAGAGAAAGAAGAACTATTGATGTTTTCAAATCCAGACATTTCTCTTACTCTTTAGGTTCACATTTGCAGCTACCTACAGAACATTTTCAGGTAAATTTTTTACAGATGCTTCAACTCAGCATCTCTAAATAATTTTCTCCCCTGTCCCTCTGCCTCTCTAGATCTGTTCTTTCTCCTGTGCTCACTAGCACTTGGATAGTATCAACCTAGTCTACTAAATTAGAGCCTTGGAAGTCATTTCCGGCTTCTCCATCTCTCTCATCTCCCATCAAATCATTACTTAAATCCTATGAATTTCATCTTCAGCATGTCTCACAAATCCGTTCCTCTCTGACACTATATTAGGTCAGCCTCTCATCATCTCAT